CAGGGAGTGTGTGGAAGGCTGCAGAGTCCTGCATTGCCATCTGCTCATGAGCCCTCTCTCTGTAGGCCACCTCCAGTTTTTAGGATCAGAGAGCCATCTTCAACCTAACTCTGGGTGCTGAATACCCCAATTTTAAAGACCCAGCTCCCCTAGCCCCGAGAATTTTCAAAAGGCTATTTCTAAAACTGTCACTTCAGAATAATTCCCAACTCTTACATCATTTACTGAATGAGCAGCACGTATTTTGCTGTGATAAGAACTAGAACTGGCTTGCCGGGCGATGGTGGCGCACGCCTTTAATCCCAGCACTCAGGAGGCAGAGGTAGGCGGATCTCTGTGAGTTCGAGACCAGCCTGGTCTACAGAGCTAGTTCCAGGACAGGCTCCAAAGCCACAGAGAAACCCTGTCTCGAAAAACCAAAAAAAAAAAAAAAAAAAAAAAAGAACTAGAACTGGCCAGGTGGTGGTGGCGCATGCCTTTAATCCCAGCACTTGGAAGGTAGAGACAGGCAGATTTCTGTGAGTACAAAGCCAGACTGTTCTACAAAGTGAGTTCCAGGACAGTCAGTACTATTATACAAAGAAACCCTGTCTCAAAAAAAAAAAAAAACCTTCTCAGACCCCACATAAACGTCCTTTACCTCGGCGCCTGGACTCATGCAAACCTGAAGCTGGCCAATACAGCCTGAGTCCAGCGCAGCTGAGTCCTGCCTCACCCACTGCCCTCTAGAAAGGACCCAACATGTTCTTACAGGGTTCTTAGTACTGGTCAGCCCATTCTCTCCAGAGAATCATATGGAAATTGAGCTTCACCTCCCACAAAGCTTGCTGTACCCCAAGTGAGTAACTGGACCCTGCATTGAAGGTTGTTTCTATGTGGTTGAGGGGTTGTCTGTCTGTTGTGCTCCCTGTGATGGACAGTCTCCTTATTGTCCTCTCTTTAAGCATTGTAAACAAAAGGCAGGGAAAAAAATCTCTGTAAGACAATAAATTTTATGCTTTGTGAAATTATACTTTGATCATCTCATTTTAACCATACAAAACATTGTCAAGCAGCTTTGCAAAGGACCAGGCTGAGGAAACGGATTCCAATGGTCTGTGCTCCCACCGGAGAGAAGGCCTGCAGAAGTGAGATATAGGGCTCACTATACCCCACCATACACAAGCTGGCTCTGGTATGCAACATATATGCCAAAACATACCAAGGTCCAGTGATCCCTGGAAATGGGGCTTGTATCCCAGCCAAGAGTCGGCATTGGAGTGAGAAGTGGGTGTTGTTGTTTTGTGCAGTGCCAAGCCCAGGGTCTCATGAATGTAAAGCAATCATTCTACCACTGAAGTGAGAATTGGAAGTGCCCTTCACACCCCAGGGTCAGTGACTTCTGGCTACTTCTCCAGAGCCTCTCCAGGATTGGGTGTGCTACCTGCTCAGGCTGGGGACCACAAGCCCCAATAACTCAGCCCAGGCCTCGGCAGAAGTGCTATGTGCGCCAACACACCTGCAGCCCCACCCTACTAATCTGGGGCAGAGGAGTTTCTTTGGCCAGCTCTGGGCTGACCACAAAGACCCCTGTCCCCAGCACAGCATAGGAAGGGCAGGATCCGTGACAGTAAGCAGTCCCACAAATAATGACATCTCATGGGGGCCACTCCTATTCCCACAGGACTCTGGGCACAGCTGGGAGAAGATGCCCTGCCAGCTATGCCTAGCACAACCTCCTGTTCCCGCAGCTTAGACCGGGGAAGAGACCCCAAAGGAAGAGCCATATTAATGGAGCCTAGGGGTGGGTGCACAGCCTCTAAGGGGATGATGGAGCCGCTTAGCATGGGCAGAACCACAAAGAAACCTGAAAGTGAGGAGGGCTATAGGGTAGCCTAAAACAACAGAAGTTGTTTTTCAAAATTTCCAAAATTCATCCAACACCTCACCAAGGCCCTAAGGGGAGCCCCCGTGTTTCCTCTTAGTTCACAGGTCCTGTGGCTTAGGACAAGATGATTCTCCCGAGATTCTAACTCAATTACATCTGTACAGACCTTTCTTTAGAAAATAGTCATGTCCATGGGCTCCAAGACGCAAGATATGGTTTTGTATTTTGGAAGCACCATATATCCCATCAAACTTTGTAACCCTTACAAGGCTCTGAACATGTGTGGTTCATACGGACCTCGGGAGGAAACTACAAATTGGCGCCAAGAACCAATGTGAGCCATGCTTGGTGTCAGAGCCTAGATTACTAGGTCTGGATTAAGGAGTCCCCGTGAATGCTCAGGATGATGCTGGAAGAATTCACGAGAGGATGCACAAAGAGGATGGTTCAGACATAAGGGGGGATGTCAATGCCTGACCCCTATTTATCCTCAGCATCCCCCCAGCCTCCTCAGCCCAGTTTGACTTCCCTACTGACTCTTGCTTTGCCCCTCAGCTCACACAATGGCCCCTTTCACCATCCGCCTGAAACTCTTGTTTACCTCTGGGCAGCTGCTGAATCATAGTTCCTGGGTAACAGTTGCCTGGAGACAGTTGCCAGGTCACCACTGTTGTATCCCAGCAAAGGGTTCCTAAGACCTTGCAGAGCAGGTTAGAGACACTGGCTGGTCACCTGCTGAGGGTCCTGACCAGGGCTGAGGCTGAGTGCTTGCCCTCCTGTACCCTGGTTATTTGCCCTTCCCAGAAGTAGACAAACAGGAGAGAGGACCGGCCAGAGACTGGGCAGCTTGGCTGAGCTCAGTCCTCTGCCGAGGTCACTCTCTCTCCAAACCCCAGTGTTTTAGCCAAGAGAGGAATGTCTTGTGGGGTGGGGCTGACCCATGTGGGTAACTCAAGCTCTGGGGAGGGCTGGGAGCCCTCAGGATGATTTGCCTAGAGCCATGTCTGTCTCCCCAGAACTGACCCCTCAGAAGGGCCACCTCCTGAGATCCACAGAGAACGCATCCCCAGACAGTGAGCGCTGCTCGGGAGGCACCAGCCCTTCAGAAAATGTCAGCACCTTCTCAGAGCCCTGTGTTGCCAAACGTTGTGTCTGGGGAAAACTTCAGCAGAACACTGATGTGGTCATTTTCTTGGCCGTCTTCTTCAGGTTTAAACGCATCTTCTGCCCATTGTACCGGGGTGTGATTTCCTGCCGGTCTTTTTATCTGACCAGGTAAAAAAGTTTATTTTAAATTTATTATAAAGACTTGAAGCTTCTGTCTAGCTCCTCACCTGGAGCTTTCCCCAAGACCCAGAACCACATGATTTGTTCCACTATTGAACAGCTTGCTTTCTGAAGTAGTAACTGACACTCTTACTGTGAAACTTCCTTTCTGGATTCTGGGTCTGACCCTGAGAGAGACTCTGGAACACACTAGACAGGGGCAGCTGCTGGCAGTGTCCCAGCTTAGATGCTGCCCTTCCTCTCTCGGGTAGACATATTCCTACTCACCCAGTAGGGTTTTTAAGGAAAGTTTTTGTCATTTTGTGGGGGTTTTATTTGTTTATTCATTTTTGAAAGAAGCTCAGGCTAGTTTCCCACTTCCCTAGGTTCCTGGAGTTGGCACTCCAACGTGTGCCCTCCTCAAAGGGTAGAGGGCTCTGGTTGATCACAGGGCAACCCCGCCCTAACTCCAAATAGTATGTCCAACTTCTTTTCTTTCCTAGTCTCTCAACAAGCTACAATGTTGAGTCTCTGTGGGTTTGTATTTGGTTTGATCCTTTTGGCCCTGTCCTCAGTTCTTTCTGGACAATTTCCTGGACTTAATTCTGACCTTTGTGTTTCATGTTTAATTCTCACAGGCTCCTTCCTATCCTGTTAGAATTCAGCACCTTTTTAGGAAACAGTATCTCTCCCACTCTCAAATACATTCTAGAAGAGAGTTAGAGTCCTTCAGTTTCCACATTTTTCTTCTTCCTGTGTGAGTCTGTATGTTCCTCTTGTTCATACCTAGAAGACCTCCTAAGATCTCCCTGGGGCCAGGCAGCCTCTTATGCTGTAGACAATACTGGACACCAGTGTCTTTTTTTTTTTTTTGGTTTTTGGTTTTTCGAGACAGGGTTTCTCTGTGGTTTTGGAGCCTGTCCTGGAACTAGCTCTTGTAGACCAGGCTGGTCTCGAACTCACAGAGATCCGCCTGCCTCTGTCTCCCGAGTGCTGGGATTAAAGGCGTGCGCCACCACCGCCCGGCTTGGACACCAGTGTCTTAAGGTCCCATTTCCATAGCAGGTCCCCATGGCTCTGGGTTCTGGAGACGCACTGGAGTGCATAGGACTTCCCCAGTGATTGCAGACTGCACACCCACACCTCCTACCTCAGCCTCTTCCTGGAAGCTTTTCTAAGTGGGAATGGGTCTCCAGACACCTTGGATTCCCCCATTTGCAGCCTACCCTCTACAGAAGTATAAGGTTCTCAATCCAGGCTTTCTCTCCACCCTACCTACAGAACTTTTTGAAAATTTTTTCCTGTCTTGTCAGCTCAGGGGGCATGGAATTGGTAGACAACTTTCATCTGGTTGCTGTCCTTGGCTTTTCTTTGCTGTCAGTCACTCTATAGCCACAGACCTGTTTCCTCTTTAGAGCTGACCTTCTCCTATCCAAGGGCAGCAACTTGTCTTCCCCTCCCAGTCACAAGACTCTGTGTGCTGTCTCCTCACTCACTCCTGACCAACAAACTGGGTTTATTTCCTTAATGTGGGGCACAAAGATTCATCTAGGAATAGATTTTAAATGCCCTAAAATGTTCTAAGTATGGAAAATAGAGAAAAACGGCCGCGTCCAGGACAGGAGTGGCAGGGAAAGAAAGGTGATGGTGGCTTTAAACAGGTTGTGTGATAGAACCAGGATTGAGCACCTGGGTAGCCATAACTGGTAGGAATTTTGATCGGGGCTAGGAACCTTTTTGCCCTTCAAGCCTGCAGATGGGACACCTTACCAACAGCAAGACTGATGGGCACCCTATTTGCAGCAGACACAGAGGCCACACTCGTCGAGGTCGGGGCCGTCTCAGCCGAAGAAGAGTCACCCGGCGGAGACGGAATGCAAAGATGGCCTTGCACCCACGGACTGGGAGGCCTCATGGCCATCACAGAGGTGGAAGTGAGCCACAAGCTGAAGGCACAGCCCAGGACATGGGGAGTCAGCCTTCCCCAGGCAGGGTGGGCCCAGCTGTCTGCCCCATCCGAGGGCTGGGATCTCAAGCTTCTCGAAGACCCCGAAGGGGTGTAGGGACTACATCTTCCTCAAAGGCTCATCGCCCTGGTGCCCTCATGCCTGCAACACGCAGTCATACAAGATTCATCCACTGCCGGGGTAAGCCCCCTCGGACACATGTCAGCTCCAAGAGACCCAAACGGTCCAGGATCCGTCGATGCCACACTCGGGCACCAGGTGAATGCAGAGTATCTCTGAGACTGGTTCCACATACTCTCAAGTCAGGACCTCCAGGGACAGCATTTTATAGGAAGGGAACTAGGCTTATACCAGGCCATGTCCAGTCAGCCAGCCAGGCTCTGAGAGAAGCTAGCAGGGGACAACATATAGGGACACTATGCTCAAGAATCTGCAGGTTCTACCTGTCCATGCCATTACAGTGGGCACTCCCTACCCCAACTCCACTTAGTGCAGCCTCTCATCTCTCCTGGTTGATCATAGACCCTTGGGTCACCCATGATGTCATCATAGACATTGTGACCCCTGCCCTCTGGAGACATACATCCCCACATCATGTCTGTAAGGGCTTCTGCCTCACACTCTGGCCCACTCCCTGCATGGAGCCGGCCCTGCTGGTAAGGAGGGTGGAAGTGGGGGTCACCCTTTTCATCCCCTCTGTAGTCTCTACACTACCTGGACTCTGCGTGATTTAAGGCTGGTGGAAACTGCCTCCTTTCACGGGTGCAATGACCCTCAGACCCCTCAGGCAGGTCTGTGTTGGGCCAAAGAGAGGTCCAGAGGGGTTGGGTTAGTTCCCAGCAGCTTCTGGCATTGGCTGGGCTTGGGCAGATAGAGTGGGTACCTCCCCATTCCTCCACCTGACAGCACTGATCTCCAGGCTGGACCCATGAGAAACGGATGGCGAGCAGTGTCGAGGAGGGGCTCCGACCTGAGCTAAGTCAGCTGGACCAAGATGCAGGTGGGGCCTCTGGCAGCTGGGAGGGGCAGGAAAAACCCTACTGAGCCAGAAGCCTGAGGCCTCTGACCACCTACCTGCCCACAGACCTCCTGGAGGAAGAAGAAGCCGCCAGACTCCCTTTGACCTCCCTGGAGGGGCTCTTTCTGGAAGGGGACAAGCAGCCCAGTCCAGGTCAGGGCCCTTTCTTTTACATCGGAGGCACCAACGGAGCATCAATGTGAGTGGACTTTGGGCAGCCCTGGTCTGCCTTCCGACCCCTGGTGTGGACTTAGCCCACGATGCTGCTATGGGGTGACCACTCCTGCCCTGTCTTCCTCAGACAACCGCAGGGCCCCCCCAGTTACTAACGCCTTTTACCCCCACAGAATCAGCAACTACTGTGAGAGCAAGGGCTGGCAACGCACACAGGACAGCCGCTGTGAGGATTACAAGCTGAAGTGGTGTGAGATCAAGTCCAGGGACAACTACTGCAGCTTCCGGGAAGGTAGGGGACACCCTGAGGGAAGCAGATGTGGCAGAGCAGCTTCAAGGCACCACCCACACAATCCTTTCTGTCCTGCCAGGCCAGCAGCTGCTGTTCCAGCTCCCCAACAATAAGCTGCTTACCACCAAGATCGGGTTGCTCAGTGCCCTGCGGGAGCATGGACGCACTTTAAGCAAAGCCAGGTTGCTGCCCAGCGCCCAATCCAAGTGAGCCCACCCCGCCCAACCCCAGGGGTGCACCCACTTCTACCTCCATCTTTAGGACCATTTTCCCCATTCCGTAAACTTTCCTCAGCTGGTCTACCAATCTGCTTCTCCTCCAGCACATGCCCACCATCCTTTGCTCAGATATCTTTACTCTCTGCCCACAACAGCCACCCATGGATGTCCCTCTGCACTTCTCCATTGCTCCACCCACTTAGCCAACATTTTGCTCCCACTCATTCTTATCTGCTCAGCCATATCCATCTGGTTTCCTCTAACCTTACCAAGCTGAACCTCAATGGTTCACTGATTACCTCCCCAGCCATTTACTCACCCAAATGTTTACTTAGAGATCTATCTTCTCATTCAACCAACTGCTCGCTGTCAGCCCCTGAAGGTAGCGTTTAAACACAGCCATCTATAACACCACCTAGACATCTGTGTCTCCAGCTGTCTACTTCTTACTAACTTTGACCAGCAACTCGTCTGCCCGCCTACCCCCAGACCCATCTATACTCTCACTCTGCATATCCACCCACATCTACAAACATGCTGGAGGTTACTACTCAGACCAGGACGTATGTCCCTTTGGGGAAAGGATGTATCAGCCCTTGGGAGCTTACATGGCCCAGCCCAGGATGCCTTGGGCCACAGGGGTAGATAGCTGAGAGAGACCAGAACTGAGTTATAATAAAAGGCAGTTTGGGAGCTCAGATACATACTATGGTTCTATGCCAGGCACAGTCTTGGCATTGGAAATCAACCCACATAGAAGAGAGCAAAGGGGAGAGAGAAAGCAAGGAGATGGGATGGAGGAGCCACAGTGGGGCTGGCAGCCAGAGGCTGAGAGTATGAGACACGTAAAAGGATATTCTGCAAGGACACAGTGTGAACAGAGGCCTTGCAAAGGAAATAGCTGGGGGACACCTGGTAGCCCCTTCCAGCTAGCCTACAGGTCAAACTACCAGATCACTGGCCAAGTTGAAGTCGGAGGACAGCCCTCCCATGTCTTCACCCCCCTGCTCTCCCAAGGGTTCTAAAAATGGACGAGTTTTTCCCAGAGACCTATCGGCTGGACATCAGGGACGAGAGACAGACTTTCTTCACGCTATTTGATGGTGAGAGGCCCCTGGGTAGGGCCAGGCACTCTAAAAGGGTAGACAAGATGAGGTTCGGAGCCCAGCAGGGTGGGCAGAGGGTTGGGGCAAGGCCAGACCTGGAAAAAGTGGAATAGTTCTTGAGAGGAAAAGTGAAGCCAGGGCTTGGGACTTGGTGTTAAGGGGTTGGAAAAAGAGGGTGGTGGTAGCCTTAGTTAGGGGTAGGGGTGTGGCAGGGCCATAACCAGATTATGGGTATGATTAAAGTGAGACAAAGGAACCGCCCTCTAAACTGGGGCGAGGTAGCGAAATCAGGGTAGGACAAGGGTTGAAGCCAGTTGGAGCTGGTCGAAGTGGTCAGGGCTGAGGGGGCGGGGTAAAGAAAGGGAAGGTCAAGGCTGGGGTGTGGTCAGGGCCAGGGCAGGGTGAGGGATGGGAGGGGCAAGGAGCACTCAGGGCCAGAGGCTCAGGGGTTACTCCCTGCAGAAACCGAGATTTGGATCTGCAAGCCCACGGCCTCCAACCAGGGAAAGGGCATCTTTCTGATCAGGAGCCAGGAGGAGGCTGCTGCCCTGCAGGCCAAGACCCAGAGCATTGAGGACGACCCCATCTACCGCAAGATGCCCTTCCGTGCACCTCAGGCGCGGGTGGTGCAGAGGTGTGGGCGTGGATACCAGGAAGGGCCTGGGTCCCAGACTAGTTGGTGCCTGGTGGTAGGAAACAGTGCTGCGGAGAAGCCCTCGGCCATTGCAGGCTGTAGCATCCAAACAACTTGCCTCCACATCTAGCCCTACAGCCTGCGCAGAGGAGGTGCCACATTTTAGCTGGGATGGCAGATAAGACTGCCCCTAAACACAGGCTCACTGGAGAGGGGGGGGCACGTCAAGGAGGGCTTGGTCCCTAGGTCCTCTGTCCTGTATCTGTCTTCCCTACTCTCCAGCCCAGCTACAACCTATCTGCAATGCAGAGCTGACCAAGGGTCCATCTGCCTACAGTGGGGTCCAGATGCTCAGTTTCACATAGGACTAGGAGGGGAAATTCAGATCACCCTTAGAAAGGTCCCAGTAGTGCCTTACCCTCTGCCAGTATTTACCCTTTCTCTGGCCATGGCTGCTACTTGCTGCCTTGTTCCCCTTCTATAGCCCCCCCCCCCCCAAACACACTCTCCCTACCTTAAGTCTTGAAGATCTGAAGACTATATGGAACACCCTCTCCCTTCCAAAGCCATTCACCGTTCAGGATCCAGAGTCAGCCTTCCTCCTCCAGATGGCCCTCCCCACCACAGGGGCCCAATCTGCTCCCAGAAACTTCCTAAGGGAGCTACACTTTAAGGTGGCCAGACACTTGCAGTAGATAGAGATTTGGTTATGAGGCCCTCTTCCCAATTCCTCTGACCAGTTCAAACTCGGAAATGTCCTCTGATCATGGACAGCGTTCAGCTAGCTGTCATGTCTAAGACAGGAGGGAGGCAATGAGAAAATGGTTCTTGTGGGGATGACAGTTGTAGGCCAGCTGACCAAGCCACTCAGTCCCAGGTGCCCCTTATGGTACCCCCTAGATATATCCAGAACCCGCTGCTACTAGATGGGAAGAAGTTTGATGTGCGCTCCTACCTGCTCATCGCCTGTACCATGCCCTACATGGTCTTTTTTGGCCATGGCTATGCCCGCCTCACCCTCAGCCTGTATGACCCTCATTCCAGTGACCTCGGTGGTCACTTGACCAATCAGGTAAGAAACCCCTTATGGGTAAAGCCCCTTTTCTATAGGCGTGGATGAGCTCAGAGAAACACTCTGATTGCTTGGGAGCACAGAGGAAGGGTCTGCCTGCCCAGGGTTGAGAGTGACTTAGTAGCCTTTGTCTAGCTTTTACCCCAACAGAGACTCAGGTGTCCTACAGAAGGACCTTAGAGCCAAAGGTAGAATGGGAGTCTCAAACAAGAGGTCCCTTGTTTAGGGTCTGTGGGGATTTTACGACTAGGAGGTGTGTGCGTGAACATCTCAGAAGCACTTGTCATGGGAGACAGGAATGGAGCTTCTGTGAAGGTCAGAAGGTTAGGATAAAGCATCCATAGAGTGGTCTCTTCGGAGAGTGACCTCTAGGCTCTGCTTTTGCTGTAGTTCATGCAGAAGAAGAGTCCACTGTACATGCTTCTGAAAGAAGGCACTGTGTGGAGCATGGAGCACCTCAACAGATACATCAATGACAAGTTTAGAAAGACCAAGGGCCTCCCCAGAGACTGGGTCTTCACCACCTTCACGGTCAGTCTGGCTTCGAGTGGGGAATCTGTGTTCATGTTGCCCTTGGGTTGGGCAAGGCGCGTGGCTTTTCATGAGTCATTGAAGCTTATGTAGTTGTAGTAAAGTCATGTCTAATTGTTCTAGGTGTCATTTTCAATATCATGTTGAAGAGGCAAAAGTAGACGTCCTTGTATTTCTTCTGATTTGAGGGAAAGTCTCACAAATTCCCTTCTCTCCCTAGTGTACTAAGTATTTTTTAAGGGTAAGATGCTGAGTAATATAAAATGCTGTTCCTATACTGATTAGGATGATCATGTATTATTTTTCCAACATTCTATTTGTGTGTATTGCATCGATTAACTTTCACTGCTCTTACGTATCTGGAATAAATTCTAGGTGGTAGTGGTATGTGATAATTCTAATATGCTTTTGAGTTTGATTTTATTGTATTTAAGTATTTTTGTGTCTGTGCTCATAAGTAATGCTGACCTATAGCTTTTCTTTAGTATTTTATCTGATTTTGATATGAAAATGTATCATTTCCCTTTACTTGATGTCTTGATGTTTTATTCTGGCTCATAATTTTAGAAGTTTGAGGTCTATGATCAAATTGATGAAGAGGTGAGCAGGCTCTGACACATTCGCCCCTGTGATGGTCTGCCCTGCTCAAACCTGAGAAACTGTAGTTGGAAATCCATAAAACTATGAAGCAAAAAGTCCTTACTCTTTGAAAGTAATTCTTTCAGGTATTTGTTATAATGAGAAAAACAAAAACAAAAAATTGGCACACCCTGTGAAGTAGCCTGGACTTTTAGTTGGAGGGAAGGTTTGTCATTAACACTGGTTTCCCATCACCCCTCAGTCTCACTTGGTTGATGTCAATTAAGATTTTCTATTCTTGTTTGTTTTTAAATTTTGATATTTATTAGTTTTTCTGGTGATTTTTTGCAGTTCTCCTTGCTTATATAATATATTTAGTGCACAGATATTTACAGTGTTTCCTTAAATTCATTTTACTATGCTGAGCATGGTGGTGCACACCTTTCATCCCAATTAGGAGGCAGAGGCAAACATCTCTGTGAGTTCTAAGCCAGTCCGATCTATATGGCTTCAGGCCAATAAGGTCTACTGGGGGACAAAGGAAAAGGAGAGGAGAGAGAAGGACGAGGAGGAAGAGAAAGAAAGGGAGAGAGAAAGAAAGAAAGAAAGAAAGGGAGAAAGAAGAAAGGAAGGAAGAAAAAAATAAAGAAGAAAGAGAAAGGAAATCAAGAAGAAGGAAGGAAAGAAGGAAGGAAAAGAAAGAAAAGTTGAGAAAGAAAAAGCCAGGAGCCAGGTGGGGTAGCACAATGCCTGTAATCCTACAATTTGGGAGTCAGAAGCAGGAGTTTCAATAACTCAACATATATTTAGCTACACAGAGAATTCAAAGATAGCCTGGTTTATATGAGATCCTGACTCAAACAAAACAAAACGCAGAGGACTAGGATTATGCTCTGTGGTAGAGCATTTACTTAGCATGCACAAGAGCTCTGGGCTCTAACCTACCACACAAAAAATGAATGAACACTTTTTATCCCAATATATGTTGTATCTTTAAAATGTTCTTTGGAGGCTAGGGAGCTTGATCTGTGGTCAAGAGCACTTTATCTACAAGCATGAGTTAGAATCTCCAATATCCATGTAAAAAGCCGTATGTGGCTGTGCATGCCTGTGACCCAGCACTGAAGAGTGGAGGCAGTTAGAACCTGAGAGCTTACTGGCTAGCCAGCCTAGCTGAAAAGGTAAGGTCCTAGTCTAGTGAGAAGCCCTGTCTCCAGGCAATAAGACATAGACTGATAAAGGAAGACACCCTAGGCTGCGCAGCCAAGGTCCAGAGAGCACACTCTGGAAGCATAGGCACAGGCATGCACTTTGGCACACTCACATGCACATACCACACACATTGTAATTCACACACAGGCAGGCCCACATGCACACGCACATTCCTGCGCGTTTGAAAAGATCATATAACCCACTGTTCATTAGAAGGTTCTGTAAAGGTCTGTGGAGTCTAGGTTTTTGTTTTGTTGTTGTTGTTTTGTTTTGAAAGTCTCAATATGTAGCCTTGACTAGCCTGGAACTTATTATGTAGACCAGACTGGCATCAAACCAGTAAGAAATAAGAGATTCGCCTACCTTTGCCTCCTGAGTGCTAGGATTAAAGGCATAGGCTACCACATTCAATGTTAAATACATTTTTAACATCCTTTTTGGGGTGCGGAGGAAGGTCACCGCCAAAGGATGACTTTCAGTAGCTCTTCCTCCACCATGTGGGTCCTGGGACGAAACTTGTGGTTAGGCTTGGCATCAAGTACCCTTGCTAGAGAAGCCACCTTACCTGCCCTTGTTTTATACATTATTGTATGTGTGTGAGTGCAGGCAAACATGTGCCGTGGTGAGAATGTTGAGGTCAGAGGGCAGGATTTTTCTTCCTCTGTGGGACCTGGGGACTGAGCTCATGTCCTGAGACTGGTGTGGCAAGTGTCCTTACCCACTGAGCCATCTTGTTGTCCACTGTGTGTGTGTGTGTGTGTGGTGTGATGTTGTATGTGCTGAGGCCACAGCAGGTTCTAGGAATCAAACTCAGGTCACCAGGCTTGCACAGCAAGCACCTTCATTGACTGAGCCATCTTACCAGTCCTGTACAACCATTTGTTCATAGTATTGGTCAAGTCTTCTGCTTTTTAACCATCTATGTATGTAGTCCAATCGTTATCTATCTATCTATCATCTATCATCTATCTATCTCTATCATCTATCATCTATCTACCTATTTATCTACCTATCTATTATTTACTTTGTCTTTTTGCAACAAGGTTTCTCTGTGTAGCCCTGGCTGTCCTGAAACTCGCTCTGTAGACCAGGTTTGCTTCACATTCACAGGAATCCACCTGCCTCTGCTTCCCAAGTGCTGGGATTGGAGGTGCTGGCCTTCACTGCCTGGCACTGCTATTTTCTGTCTCATATGTCTTCTGTTTACTTCCTCAACTACCACCTCTTATTGGAGCAGACATATGCTTTCTAGTGTGTCTTTTAGTTGTAATCTTATTGTTTTCTTAGTGGTTGTATTTGAGATTACCATTAACATCTTAGTCATAATTATTCTGATTCACATAGTTAATTTCAATAACATAGAAAAACATGGTTCCTATTTTATAGCTCTATTCTCTATTGTGCTGACTTTAGATCTACTTCATTCAGTTGCCTTGTTAGGAAAATCAATTTCCGGTGAAAAAAACAGATATGCTGTCTTTTACTTAACATAGTCACCTTTACTAGGGTTTTTATTTTTATTTCTTCATGCGAGTTCATGCCTCTGCTTTTCCTTATGTGGAAATGTCTTTTTGTTTATATGTTTTTTGAGACTGGGTCTCACCGTGTAGACCAGGCTGGCCTCAAACTCACTGAGATCTGCCTGCCTCTGCCTCTTGAGTGCTGGGATTAAAGGTGTGGGAATGTCTTAATTTTTTCATTAAAAAAAGAGATTTTAAAATGTTTATGTGTTTGAGTGCCTGCATGTATGTATGGGTACCACATATGTGCCTGGTGCTCACAGAGGCCAAAAGATGGCTTTGGATCCCTTGGGATTGGAGTGAGAGGAGACTGTGGACAGCCTTACGTGGACTCTGGAAACCTAAATGGGGTCCTTTGCAAGAACAGTCAAGTGTTCTTAACAGCTGAGTCATTTCTCCAGTTCCTAATTTCCCTATTCTTGAAGTATGCCTGTAACCCTAGTCCTTGGTGGTGATACAGGCAGATTCTCTTATAAGAGAAGGGCTGCAAATAAGGAATCATCACACCAGTGCACATGGGTTCCGATTGAACTCAAGTCCTCATGCTTGTTAGCCTGGGCTTTGAAGTATGATTTTGTTGGGTAAACAAATCCTTTTTACTATTTGTATGTGCTGTGCATGTATGTGATGTCTGTACATGTAGCACATGCATGTGGAGGCCTGTAGCAGGTGCCTTGTGTCTGTCCTCGGTCACTCTCCACCTTTATTTTTGGGACAGGGTCTCTTATAAGAGAATCTGCCTGTATCACCACCAAGGACTAGGGTTACAGGCATGCAGTTGCCATGTTTGGCTATTTATATATTCTAGGGCACCGAAATCAGTCTGTGCTTGTACAGTAGATGGCACTTGACCAACTAAACATTTCTCTTTTTAGCCTCTGTAGATAGAATTCTTGGTTGGCAGTTTTTCCTTTTAGTGTTTGGAATATATCATTCCATTCGGGCCTCATGGTTTCTGATAAAAAAGTGACTATTAATCTTATTGAGTATCCCTTTTATGTGATGAATAGGTTCTCTCTTGCTAATTTCAACATTCTCAGTCTTTTTTATGATTTTGTATGTGCATGCGTGTCTGTGTATATGTTCATGCCTGTGGGTATGTGTGTGAAATTTTGGAGGTCAGAGGTCAACTTCAGGTGCTGTTCCCCAGATGGCATCCTCATTGTTAAAGACAGAGTCATGTCTTCGTTGAGTTGAAGTTTACTGGATCTGTTTGTCTCTGCTGTCCCAGCAGAAGGGCTGCAAATAAGGAATCATCACACCAGTGCACATGGGTTCTGACTGAACTCAAGTCCTCATGCTTGTTAGCCTGGTCTTTGCTGACTGGGCTGCCTCCCAAGCCCCCTCTAGTCTGCTTATGATTGTTGTTGTATGAACGGCGGGGCTGTGTCCCGCCACCCGGCTAGCTTTACCTGAAATAATTACAAGGAAACTGTATTCTCTTAAACACTGCTTGGCCCATTAGTTCCAGCCTCTTATTGGCTAGCTCTTACATATTGATCTAACCCATTTCTAATATTCTGTGTAGCCCACGAGGTGGCTTACCAGGGAAGATCTTAACCTGCGTCTGTCTGGAGTGGGAGAATCATGGCGACCGCCTGACTCGGCTTCTTTCTCCCAGCCTTCTGTTCTGTTTTCTCCGCCTATCTAAGGGTTGGCCTATCAAATGGGCCTAGGCAGTTTATTAATAAGAAATCACTCCCACATCATATGATATGATAAGTCTATTAATTTATCCTTCTTAGACTTAATTGAACCATTTAAATTTAGAGATTGATGTTTTACATCAAATTTAGGAACCTTTCTGTCATTTCTTACAATTCCTTGCCCCTTTCCTTTCTTTCTGGGGTTCTCAGTACCTATACCTGCTGGGTTGATTCCTCTCCCCAAGAAGCTTCTAACTAAAGCAACCTGAAGTGCTATAATGTTCTCTGTTCTACCAGGGTTTTGTGTGTTCTAGCTGTCTCTCTGCTGCGAGCTCTAATTTTCTTCACTTTTGTATCTCCTGGTACCTGCCTCACAGTATGGTTTTGCTGAATGTGTTTCTGTGAGCCTGTAACTCTGAGCATGTGAAAATGTGGGCAGTCAGAGCTACGCGGGTGAGAGGTGACTTCACCTGGGTCAACCCGCCACAGCCAGGATCTCTCCCTGCTTTGCCCACAGAAGCGGATGCAGCAGATCATGGCCCATTGCTTCCTGGCGGTCAAGTCCAAGCTGGAATGCAAGCTGGGTTACTTTGATCTCATTGGCTGTGATTTCCTGATTGATGAGAACTTCAAGGTGCTGTCTTGGGAAGATGAGGTCTGGTAGGCTGGCACAAAGGGGGTAGAACCCATCTGTACAATGACCGCGTACGCAGGCCCAGTGGGTGGGCTCAGCCCTAAAGTCGGATGTGTCATAAAGCTCTCCTCCTACGGGACGTGAGCAGCCCTCAAGAGCAGTCTTAACTCCTTGAGCAAACATGGGGAAGAAAGCCATGGAAAGAAACAATCTGCCCAGAATCACATAGCTTGATAGGGACCAAGAGAACAATCTTCTTACTGGCCAACTGGGCTGTGGGTGGATTAGGGATGCTGACCGCTGTCTGCCGCAGGTGTGGCTGCTGGAGATGAACTCAAATCCTGCCCTACATACCAACTGTGAAGTCCTGAAGGAGGTGATCCCTGGAGTGGTTATGGAGACTTTGGGTGAGCTCTGGGCAGCCCCTTGTCACAGCATTCCCGTCTGCTTCTTTGTCCAGTTCTGGGTAACCCATCCAGCTTGCCTCCAAGTTCAGACTCTACAAGTCTGGTTTCCCAACACCCCATAATCTGCAAGGCCCCCCAAGCCCTCTTTCTGCTCCAACGTCTCTGTCACCTGACCCACCTACGTCTAACCCTTCACGGACATGCTGGAGAAGTTGCCCTGCTCCAAACTGCCCTCTCACTCACTCACCTCACTCACCCTCTCACTCACCTTGTCCTCCTCACAGATCTAGCTCTTGAGACCTGCCAAAAGAGCTTGCATTGTCAGAAGATGCTGCCTCTGCTGTCACAGCGTCGCTTCGTGCTCCTTTACAACGGCGAGACTATGGACGTGTGGCCGCGCTTGGGGGGCTCGCGCCCCCTTGCCCGCCTGCCTCCGCCACCGCCGCCGCTGCCTCCCAGGCCCTCCAGTGAGGCAGCATCCTCTACACTGTCCTCAGCACGTGCCACAGCAGACCGACCTGGAGCACGCAAGCCGGTGCCTTCCAGGGCTGCTCCCATATGCGCCTTCCACAAATCGCGGCTGCCTGACTCCAGCGGAGGGTCCAGAGCGGAGTCCGAGCCCTCTCTTTGTTCTGGGTCCCCAGAAAACAGCAGGGACGCGACTGGGGAGCCCTCCCTGGGGCCGTCCGAGGAAGAGCGCGAGGAGGAACAGAGGAGCGCGAGCCACCGGGGCTCCTAGCCGCCACAAGCAACCAGCGACCCTGCTCGCGGCCGTGCCCTCTCCGGGACCTATAAAAGCTACTTTGTGACAAACGCGGCCTCCAGAAGCCGGTCCCACCTGGGTGCCCCAAGCCCTTCTGTCACCCTCCTCTCTTTGCTCCTCGGTTGTCCTTAGCGGAAGGAGAGGGAGCTGCATGCAGAATGGGAGTGCATCCTTCAGAAAGGGAAAAACTTCACTGACCTGTTTTTCCTTCTATGGGGCAGCCCACCAAATCCTGGGTTCCCACTTATTGCTCTTTCTCATCCTGTAAGATCCTCCTGAAACTCCATGGCCTTCATGACCTTTTCAGCCTGGCATTGGGACTCACCCTCTGTTCCCTGGAGTCCCCAGGAAAGGTCTCGGATGCCCATGGAACTCTGGAAGTCCTATCCTACCTCATTACTATTCTGGAGCAGTACCGGGATTCATTCTCATCCTGCCCACCATCTTTCTTTTGGCCTTTCAGACACTGTGGAACAGGGTCTACAGCCTCCTTCCCCACAAAGGCCTGGAGTTTGTCAGGGATGGGAGAGGTATAGAGGAGTTGGCCAAGACAGGGCAGTTCCCAGGAGAAGGAAGACAGACATTAAGCTGACATTCGTGATTGCTCTCCCTCCTCCCCTGCCACCCCCTGCAATAGTCATGTTCCTAGTTAGCATGGAGGTTTGAAAGGAGACCTCTGACCACCTCACATTTTACACCAAAGTGGCCAGAATCCTGCCTTTAAGTCCCTGCAGCCAACTCCTGTCCCCTTAAGTTACCCCACCCCTACAAAACTCCAAAGACAACCTCCTACCAACTTGCAAAAGGACCTGCTCAGCTTGAATACTCTCTTGCATATCCTCTTCCTTGTTTTCCCTTCTGACCTTTAATTGGTCCCAAACATCAGGCTTAGCTCCATCACACGGGAGAAATGCCAGACTGGTCCCTGTTCTTTATTGAAGCAAAATCCCTCGGGAGGTAAGGGATCTTTCCTTGCACAACAGTCTAAACTGAGCCAGTTTCTAAGATGCAATGCCTGGCCACCAGTAGAGGGCTCTGTCCGCATACAGGGAAGTTCCCTTCCAGAAACTCCTCACAGTTGAACAACTGAGGCTCAGATCCCAAGGAAATTATAGAGACCCTACTTTAGCTTGTGAGCAATCTCACATCTCTGCACACTCCCCACAACCCTTCTCCATCCAGATGCTCCAGTCTTGCTGTGGCCTAGGGCATGAGGTACAAGGTGTGGTACAAGCACACTCTTGTCTGTAGGTGACCAAGCCCAGCATCTTCTGTAACAGTCCAGGAAAAGCCTGTCCCTGGTCAGAGGGTCTCTGGTCTATTGGCTCTGAAGCCCACTGAAGCTAAGAAAATGGAAACTCAGCCTCCCGAGAGCTTAAGTGTCCTACGTCTTGGTGAATCTACACCTGTTCCTGGGGTCAAGGTCACATTTTTGTTGGCAGCCATGGTGCTACTAGCCATGCCCCTTGGGGCCACCTGTCACTGCATTCTCGACTTGTGCCTCCTCCAAGACTTAGATTTCCCATAGCCTCTCCCCCTCCTCACAGTTCCCTGACCAAGTCAGAGCTGTATCCCCATCACTGGCGTGACAAATATTTCTGCTCTCAGCACCACATGGAGCTGCAGCCCTGCCCCCCTGGGGGGGGGGTCATCTCATGTCAGTACGGGTGACAAAGCTCTCAGGAGGAAGATGCTTCCTCTGCTGTTGTGGGGACATGGAACCTCTACTGAGACCATGATGTAACAAATACTCGTTGGCAGTAGCCTGTCCTGCTGTGCCAACCACAGGCTCCCCAAGGGCTTGGGCTGTCTGCTACCCTTCATTCCTGGCAGCTGCAGAGCATGTCAAGAAGGGTTTCAGGGACCTCCTGCTGCTCACTCATTCCACGGGAATGATAAGCGATGGACCCATCAACCTCCTCCAGATCCTCCTCAACTCTTCACAGCCTACATGCAAGTCCCCCAGAGCCCTGAGCTCAGGACTTCATCAGACTCTGGGGAGAGAGGGGCTGTGGGGCATCTGAGCACCTGGCCACTTGGCAGCTTCAAGGTATTCTCTGATATTCAAACAATATGACAGGACTGGGGGTTAAGGAGCTGAATGATGGCATCAACTCTGGGCTGGCCCTGCAGAGCAACCGATTGCCACTGGGGTTGGTCACCCAAGAACGGGGCTCCTGACAGCTGAATATATCCTCCCTTCTAATCACTCCCTGTTCTCCTGAGAGAATCCTGAGACCCTCCTGCTGAAAGTGTCAAGAGTTTCCTTCAGAAGATGTGGGGAATTGAGCTATTCACAGCTCTGACCCAAGCACCCTGTGCCTTCTGTTGTCCCTGCAGTCAGACCTTTACTGCACATACGTGCACACGCACATGCACACACACGCACGCACGCATAGGGTCTGGAGCTTTCTGCGTATTTTAGCTTCGGTCAGACAATAGTGGAACATCCTACATACTTTCCCACTCTAGTCCCCCCCCATCTAAAAAGGGGCCCGAACAGTAGCCTGGTCTTCAGAAAGTCACCCTAATTCATGGAGCTTCTTGGGAAGATGGGGTAGGTAAGGGATGGATGTCTACCTTCTTTCTCCACTCAGCTGCTTCCCATAGGGGCTAGTGGCTGTATAAGGGACAGTCCCTGAAATGTGAGCCCAGCCCAATAGAAGACCTAGACGTAGAGGTACTACCTGGTCATGCCTCAGTAGCTAGGAGCAGTCATTACCCACCTGCCCCCCAAGGTCTCTGGACTGCTGTCTGGAGCTGGGGGAGGGGTTGCCGAGTTGTAAAAAGGAAGCGACCTCTCACTTTCCATGATACAGGTCCTTCTCTCAAGCTGTGGGCTCTCAGCAAGCGAGAGGGTGGAGGCTGGGCAGGAGTCACCAGCTGTGGCCGGAAGCATTTCTGGGAACTGGGCCTGTGCGCTAGCTCTTTATCTGAGAACAAAACTTAAGAAATCAAGGCCAAGGGGTGTGTGTGTGCTGTGGTTTTCCGGAAGAAATGGAGAGTGGCTACTGTGGGGTAGGGGTTTCTGGGAATTGCAGTGAAACCTCCCTCCTGCTAGTCTAGGCCTAGCAGAGACACACCTCAGCTGCTGTGGCTGCCAGACTCTGCAGGTGGGTAAATGTCGTCCCTACTTCAGAAGGCAGGGTTTGAAATGGTCTCTGCTGGAGTGGCAGGAGGTGGCAGGAGGCTTCTGCAGCAGAATCTTTTCAGCCCATCCTCTTCTCCACGTTTCTAGTACTCCTGGATTTCACACGCACCTGCTTGCAGTCATGGACTCTGTCCCTACTTGACTACAAACTCTCAGCCCTGGGGAACTGAACAGACCCTGCACAGCTCACGGTTCTTGTGGAAATCCCCACATCTAACAGGCTGGCACAGTTCATCTTATGCCCCTGAGGTGAACATGAGAGGAATTGGGGGCGTTGCTGACTGCAGGGCAAGGGTACATGGGAGACTACCGCATACCTCACCCCACCCTGCAGAATCTCCCGCCATCTCTATCACATCCATCAGTCACCCACGGAGGAGTTTCCAGAAGATAGCAGTCTGCACACGTCATGCTATTTGGGGATGCCCCCACCTGTGGCAGTTCCAGGGGAAGGCAGGACTGCCTATTGCTCAGAATCTAGGGGTGTGGTGTGATAGGCAAGCTAGGAGATGCCCCCAGCCTCCACCTCCCTTCCCAGGCTTACTCTAGACTTTGTAGATTGTGCCTGACTCCTAACCCACCCAAAAGGGGACAGAAGAGGCAGCTCCAGGCAATGAGGGTGCTGGTACATCCCCAAGAGACTTCATGTGGCCCTGAGCGCTGTGCGTTCTGATCCCAATGTCCTCCACTTCCATGGCAATTTTTCCATCTCTTCCTCCAGTCTCTTCCAGGTGCCTGTGTGTTGATGGGGCTGTTAGCATCAGAAGTTGCAGATACATCCCCCCAATCCCTATTTACCTGCTGTGAGATAAAAGACAGGAGACATTAAGTGGAAGGAGGAACAAGTAAGTGCCCAGGTGTGCAGATGCCTTAAGGGTGCTGCTGCAATTCCTTCCCTCAGGCCTGCCACTCCCTGGATATCCATTCCAGGGTGGCCTTATTGGGTGTAGCTCTGGATGTCCTGGTTACTTTGTAGACCATGCTGGCCTCGGACTCCCAAGATCGGCCTGCCTCTGCCTCCCGAGTGCTGGGATTAAAGATACGTGTCACTACACCTTGCTCTTACTGGATCTTTCTATGAGCAGCCCCTACAACTGCCAAGAGGCAGGAGAGATGTTTTGCTCGGAGGGCCTCAGAGCCAAAACTATGCACTGTGCACTCCAGAGAATTTGCCTCGTGCCAGGAAATGCTGATATGGAAACTGGCTAAAGCCTGATTTTTAAAGTCCTAAAGTGCCATCCAACCCAGTCTCCCAGGCATCCCAAAGGGCAGTATCCCGAAGACTACAGGCTCAGTACATGGTTGCCTAAAATGGAACAGACAGAGGTGAGGGGAAGTGGTTTGGACAAGAAGCCAAGAGGACTGGAGAGCTGGCTCAGCACCTGCCGCTCTCTCACGCCTGCGTTCAGTTCTTAGCACCTATGTGGTAGCTCACAACTATCAACTCCTGCTCCAGAGAGTTATACATGATGCAAAGAAACTTACGGAGGAATAAATAAAAAATAGAAGATGAAGCAAAGAAGGCATGTATTCAGTATAGATTACCTCCTTCCAAAAGCCTCTCTAGTCTGATGGTCCCTCCTGAGGATTTGTGGCCAAGATTAACCTTGCCTCCACTCCCTTGAAAGATCATTCTAAAAGTCTTTATTACATTTTTGTACACGCGCGTGTGCTTGTGTGGACACTCACAGGCATGTGGCATAGCGTACATTTGGAAGTCAGAGGACAACTTGTCAGGGTTGACAGATTCTATCATGTGGGGTCAAACTCATCAGGCTTAGAGGCAGGAGCCTTTGCCAAGATATTTCACTAGACCATCCTTTCCATTCTACGCCCTGGAAGTGACCGTGGGCACAGGATGACAAGGGGTGTCCTCAAATGCAGCCCTGGGAACCTTACTTTCCTCTGTCCCTAGAACACAGTCACTCAGGTTACTAGAAAAATATTTATTGAAAACCACTTGTACAAGGTCTTGTCCTGAACACTCAGTGCTCTCTCTTGGAGAGCCTAAAGACCCCACTCCAACAGAGCTGACAAAAGAGGAAGACAGCCACAGGACCCAAGAGGAGTCACTACTCTCTTCACCCCCATCCTCTTACACCCACTTCCACCATCGAGGGGAGCAGGGCCAGGCCCAGGGAAGGATGCACAGTAGAGTCCTTGCTCTCACCAAGGGTAGGTCTGGGCAAGTCTTAGAGGGTCTGGCTTGGAGTACAGAGGAAGAAGAGCCCTCATGGCCACCGGTCTCCCAGACGATTCTTTTCCTCCGTTTGCTCCCCACGCTCCTCCTCGGGGAACTGAAAGCTGCAAGCATCCTCAGCTGGTGGAAACTGCACCTCCAAGAGTGGCTGCGTCTCTGCAGTAAAAATGTGGTCAGCAAGTAGCCTGAGCTGCATGTTCCCCTTCCCAGGGACACAACTGACCTCGGGGATATTTGTGCTGCCTCCTCAGCTGCCATACGTGTAGGCAGAGCTGGACTATGATTAAGAAGAGAATGCAAACAGTCGTGGCCAGAAGGATGACAGCCAAATGACCATGGCGTTCAGTGGGCAGTGGTTCCGGGATGCACACAGCATTGTGAGTCTTGTTCCCAGGGAATATGGTGAGAAATCCAAACTGGGTACAGCTGGACACAGACACAGACACTGTCAGGCTTGGCTACCCAAGCAGTCACACTGGGACCGTTAGCCTCTGAGACATTTGGGAGATGAATGGGGGCCTTTGAGGGTTTACAAGGGAGGGGTGGGAGAGGCTTCCTCAAGAGTGGGCCTAGGCTACTCATCCAGGACTTACTCGGCCCAAGGTCTGCAGCGGCCCTCACGGCCTGCGGAGAAGGTGCCCATGGCACAGTCAACACACTCGAAGCCAAACTTAATATTCCCTGTGGATAGACAGACAGACTATAAGGACTACTGAGGTTAAAGAAGAAGGAGTCAGCACTCTGGAGGCAGAGGCAGGCGGATCTCTGTGAGTTCGAGGCCAGCCTGGTCTACAAGAGCTAGTTCCAGGACAGAGAAACCCTGTCTCAAAAAAAAAAACAAAACAAACAAGAAAAAAAAAAGTCAGACTAGGGTCTATCAATCCACCGGATCTAATGTCTGCAGGACTAGAGGCTGGACAAGCAGTACTATGTACACCTATTCCAGAACTAGAATGATACATTGGTCCCTATGAAGAAGGATAGGATTGGTGGAAAGACCTGGCCATAGTCAGAGTCATAGTCTGAGAGCAGACCAGCACCTGGGCAGTCCTCACAGCCTCTCACAGCCAGCCCTGAGAAGATAGCAACACCCTCATTATGATGGAAAATCCCAGGCTAATAGGAAGAATGGCTCAGGTACTCTGAGACCACTTGGCCGACCTATCCCTTCTAGAATCTAGAATGCAGATCCCTGTCTACCCAGAGTATATACCCACGCGCCCTGTAGGTGCAAGCATTCTTACATGCCTACACATGCTCACTGGGCATCCCTACCAGCTTGGCTCTAGATTAAACTCGTGGTTAGCTTGGAGATATCTCCCAGGGACGTACCATGAGGCTGCACCTTCTGGCCTGGTTGGCAGGGGTAGTGCTTGCAGGTCTTGCACTGAGGGTCTTCACAGTGGTACTCCGGCATGACACATATACAATCTCCTTCAGGACAGTTCTCCTTGTCTTGGCAAGAATAAGACTCTCAGGAACTAGGCAGAGTTTCCCTCTTCAGAGCTCCTACTGGTCCTTCAAGTTCTTAGGGTGCTAGGCCTCCATCCTCAGTCAACCCCAGTGCAAGATCCTAGGCTTTGTCCAGCTCAGTGTTCCATCTCAGATGGCTGACCGCTAATATACATACCGCCCACTGTTCTGAAGTTATGGCTTCATAAGTCCCATTTCATATGGGAGTCACCTGGGGCTTTCTAAGGTCCCTGGGCCTATGCTGCATCAGGGTACTAGGAACACCTTAGCAGCTGCAGCCACTGCTGTCCACATTGCTTTCACAGACACATGGGTCCTCAGAGCTGCCTCTTTCTGTATCAGAGGGATGGGGGTGAAGTGCTAAGATATTTTTCTTTGAGGGGTCTTCAGACTGCTCTACACGTTCTAGGTAACATAAACACTGAATAGGGCAGAGGACAATGTTGGGGCACCAACCCAGACAGAGCTAAGGTTTGACCCACCCAGCAGACCCTGAGATGGTCCTCTTTCACCTTTGACCCCAGATCCCTCTTGAAGAAGAAGTTTCCAGCCCCTGCTCCCACACTTCTGGTCTTGAGCAAGTGACTCATATGGACCCTCTACCTCCTTCTCAGTTCCAGACTCATGATTCCAGACTCAGAAAGTCTTCCTACCCACCCTCCTTGTGTGAGAGCTGGGCAGGGCACTGGTGCACATCCTGGCTCCTGCTCCCCTCCTTGTCTTACCTGGAGCACACCGATTGCAACACCGTGTGTTGTTGCCAGTCCCACGTTGGAAGCTGCCAGGGCCACAGCTAGGCTCCTCAACCAGGCTCTGATGACCTAGGTCCAGCACCCAAATCAGTGAGACTCCACACACCATAGCCCATGCTCCCATAGTGTTTCTCCTGGGTCTTCTTCCTGTGGGTTGATTTTTAGTAGTCCCCAACCTGCTCCAGCATGCTTTGTCCCGCCCCTGCTTCAGTCCCCACCCCTCAGATTGGGCTCCAGACCAGCTCCACCTCCATCTTCCGGCAGGTATGTGGTGTTTGTAAAGGCCTCTGTAAAGTGTGCAACAAAGTCATATCATCTTCCTTGACACCTCCTGAACTCCAGCGAGCCTCTTCCAACTCCAGCAGACACACCCAGGACAGGCTGCAGAGGAAAAGGATCCTCATTCACACAGGCTGCTTGTGGGTACCCTTTATTGTGTAAAACTCCTCCTTTCCACCCCAGAGAGCCAGTGAGGGGAGCCCAGAGCTTATATGCCTTTCAGAGAAAGTCGCCATAAGCTGGGCATTCCTAGAAGGCGCCTGAAGCCAAGAACAGTATGTCCTGCCCAGATCCAGCCTGGAAGTTCCAGCTTGGATCTCTTGGCTGTCTCTGTCACTTTTGTTCACCTCTAGATAACAAGGACTCCCTGATGGAGCCTTCTGGGCCTCTTCCTCATAGGGAGACTGTATTGTCTTTCTGAGCCTCATTTCCTCATGCAGTCGCCAGCAGGTTCTGGAACCCTGCCTCTACAGGGAAGCCTTTCTGGATTGTTCAGCCCCACTTCCCACATCTTCCAGCTGAAACTAAGTACAGGGAAACATGGTGAGGACTTTGGGGAGTGTTGGAGGTGAATATGGGCATCTCTGAATTTGTGGGTACCCACAAATGGAAGGTGTGGAGAATTGTTGACACCCTTTTAAGATGCTGTTGGAGGAGGCTGAGGAAGTAGGAAATGTTACAAGTTACCAGCTGTGCAACTCCTACTGTTCTCTGGCCTCAGGTGTGTAAGCCTCCTGAGAGGCAGCTCTGGTCACTGCAGGGGTGGGGGAGGGGACTCTGGGTAGTCCACTCTGGGCCAGCCTTAGCAGAACCTCTCCTTCGAGAAACAGCTCCAGGCCAAGGAAGTGGGTCTGAGTCCAAGGGCAGAAGGGAAACCGTGTGCCTTGGCTCCACATAAAGATACTGAGGGCAGTATTGCCTATGCCCCTAACCATTTAAAAAAAAATTACGGGAGCACTCACTTTGGAAGCACATACACAGAAACTGGAACAATACAAAAATTAACATAGCCCCTGTGTAAGGATGACAGAAAAATCTGAATCATTCTATATTTGGGGCTGGACATAGTGGGACACACCTTTATTACGGCACTCAGGAGGCAGAGGCAGGTGGCTCTCTAAGTTTGAGGTCAGCCTGGACTATATAGTGAATAGGACAGCCAGAGTTATGGAGAGAGACCCTATCTCAAACAAACAAAAATCTAGAAGGTCAGCCGGGACCACGCCTTCATAGTATTACCCCAAGCCTGGTGAGTTCACGGTATACACATGGAATCCCCTGCCAGCCATGATATTCTCACACTGGGGATCCCTGTTCTCTAGGCAATGGTCTCTTCCACGGGGGAGAGATAACAAAGCACTCACCTCCAAAACACTGCCATGCATTGTACCTTGAAGGTGTCCCTTGGGAATTTTTGCCTTGGTGTTGTATCCGAGCTCAGCCATGGGCAAGGTCTGCTTGACAGAGACTTGCAAGGCTACAAGCTGCTAATGAGCTTCATAGAGGTTCTTTCCAGGAGACAACCACACACAGATCACAAAGATAAAAAGACACAGGTCATATACCTAGGGAGATGTTTTCATGCAGATGACATCAGGAAATGTCAGCACCTATGTCAGACTTCCTGTCCTACCCACTTCTAGGTACCCACTGCAAGGAACTGCCAAGAACAAGCAGCTTCCATAACCAGACAGTGGGCAGAGGTGATTTTATCTGCTCGCTGCTGTCCCCTTTATTTTATGTGCAGCTCCTGGTGTTTGTACTTCCATGTGGTTTGTTTCACAGGACTCGGTGAGGATGTTCCAGGCGGCAGAGGGTCCTGGCCGTTTGACCCTGTGGGGAACTCCCAGACTGAGATGGGGAGAGCAGCACAGGTAGTTGGGGAGTTTTTGAGATGAGGGGGGATAGAGAATATACTTTGGGACAGCATCAGAATGAAGAGAAAATAAACCCAGTATCTGTGCAGGTGGGGTCATGGGTATGTAACTCAGGAAGGGACCCAAGGAGCCCCCAAATGAGCAGGAGACCACATGAAAACTGGAGATCTGTGTCCAGTAAGGAGGGGGCATAGATCTGGCCTGCCTAGACTGAGAATAAAACCTCTTTCCTGTCAGCTCTAACCTCCCAAGCCCCATAGCATTCTTCCTCCCCCCCCCCTCTAGGATGGACTTCTCTATGGGATGGGGGCTGCCAATTGGCCTATGGTTCCATCCCCCGGCTTCAGGTGTGGTTGGTTGTACAAGCACCCAGTGAAGGGCATTTAGTAGTTCAGTGGATGTTTCCTTTGGCTGCGGGCAGCTGGATGTTGTCAGAGAATGGAGAGAGATGGGAAGGGAACCAGGATCAGAGATAGTTTTATCCAGCCAACCCATGGGGGTCTCAGTGACTTGGGCTATAAGTAATAGGGTGCCCCACCATGCAGATGAAGATCATCATATCTGGTCTGGAGGTGGTGGCGCATGCCTTTTATCCCAGGACTTGGGAGGAAGAGGCAGGCGGATCTCTGAGTTCAAGGCCAGCCTGATCTACAGAGTGAGTTCCAGAATAACTGGGGCTACACAGAGAAACCCTATCTCAAAACACAAAGAAACAAAAATACTATATCCGACCACAAGCAGATCAACTAAAAGATGGGAGAGGTAACAAGGTGTTACTTTAATGCCAGGCCGGTGGCCTCATGGTGGCAAGGGGCAGGAAACAAGGAAACAGTTATCTTTATAGCTCGTTATGGTTCCTATGCCTCCTCAAAGTGCAGCTGATACAGCCTGGCACCACCCCCTGCACCAGGATGTCTGGTGACTCCTTTCTTCTTTGGGATTTTTTCTTTTCTTTTTTTTTTCTTCCTTTCTTTTTTTTTTTAATTTATTTGAGACAGGGTCTCACTATGTAGCTCTGGCCAACCTGGAACTTGCTATGTGGATTAGGCTGGCCTCGAACTCACAGAGATCCTCCTGCTTCTGCCTTCTCAATGTTGGGATTAAAGGCATACACCACCAAGCTTGGCCATCTAGTGACTTTTAACATCTATCACATGACACCAGTTTGGGCTCTCTGGTTTCACTTGCATGATCAGGCATGACTGCTTGACTATCTCCAAGAGCAGTTTGGCACCTTCTGCCTGGAGTTCATTGAGCTTTTGGGTCCCTGTGCTCTTTGAGCAACACAGCCGTTGCCGCTCCCAGAACTGCTTGTAGTAGAGCACAGCATAAGACCCTGGGTCTTCGAAGTGTCCATATTCTTGTCAGGGAACATTTGTTTCTAGAGGAATAATCTCAGGACAGATGAGGTTTGGCTCAAGAAGCAGACCACATTTCCAACACAGCTGGCTGATTGGCTGCTACATGGGGCCATAGCCACCCTTGTCCAGAGATTTTAGAATCTCTAGGTAGTGCGCAAGGACCACCAAACACTTCTCACCATGCATGTGGCTGGAGAGAAAGGATAACTCTGAGTTATCTGCCTTAGTCACAGAGGTCAAAAGGGGCACAATGGTTCATGAGCCCCTCTGGTGATCAGGATACTCAAGCTGTTTGCCAGGGCGCTTTCCTTTTGGCTAAGACCCTTAGGTCCCCTTAGAGCGGTGGTTCTCAACCTGTGAGCTGTGACCCCTTTGGTGAAACTCTGTCTCCAAAAACATTTACATTACAATTCATAGCAGTAACAAAATTACAGTTATGAAGTAGCAACAAAAATAATTTTATGGTGGGGGGGTCACTACAACACGAGGGCTGAAGCGTTAGGAAGGTTAAAAGCCGCTGCCTTGAAGCACAGACTCTGGACTGCTCACCAAGCCGCCAGTTGGCTCCCCGAGTACCATCCCCTTGGCACTTTAGACCTCCCGTACTTCATACCCCTGTTCACACTGGAGAACACATGACTAAGTGTGAGTCTCTGAGCAGACCTTCACCTTGGCCTAAGACTCTTCCCCCACCAGAAGAGGATGCAACCTCAGCCCCCTAGTGCCAGTCACAGACTCACAGTTGCTAGCACATTTATTGGTGGTACCACCAGGCAGGCAGTATGCATAGCATACATAGGAGAGCCCAAAGCCAGCCCGGCACCTAGAACGGTGTGGAGGGTACTGGCAGGCACCAGGATATAGGCTGTCCATGCTCCATCAAACCCATTCCTGAGGTGCTGTTCAGATCTTGGCCAGAGTAAAGTGTGTGTCAGCTTGTTCCTCCTGGATGGGGATCCTGAAGCTGTTTCCCCCTAGGAGAAGCAAAGAAGGAAGAAGCAGTGAGGAGATATATCTCATCCCTCTAGGAAGCAAGCTTTATTAAGTCCACAGCGGGTACTCACAGTAGGGTTTGGGAGCATCAGGCAACCTCCAAGCCCTTCGGAGAAGATACAAGGCCAGCAGAACAGTCAAGGGAGCCAGCAGGCCCAGGCCTAGGCCTAGGAAACCAGTAAATACTGGGCCTATGAAGAGAGTCTAACTGAGTGAACTCACTCTCCCTCACCTCCTCTCCCCTCCCTTCACTGGGCCAGTGTCCCTTACCCCTAGGAGCCACCTGGGTGGATGTAGAGAACAACTGAGAAGTCCTGGGCCAGACTGTGGTGGACTGGACAGTGGTTGGTGTGACTGTAGAGCCCTGGGTCTCCCAGAGCACTGTGGCTGGGAGGCTTCTGTCCTCACAGACTGCGTCCAAGCTGGGACTGGCTGGGTGCCGGGTCTGCTTCCCAGATAGGGTGCAGCTGTGGGGTGAGGGTGTCCATTAGCTAGAGACAACGGTGGAAGTTGCACTGGGTCATCCTCAACTCTGCCAAGTCCTCCACCCCAAGCGATACATCTGTGTCTGTTTCTGTCCATCCCTGTCCTGCTTCTACATGAGGTTCTGCGCT